AAATTCTTGACCAAATTTAAAATTAAAAGTTATATTAAAAAACAAATATATAGATATACAGAGTTGCCAGGCGGAACGTACGGAGGCCCCTAAGCCTGTCTCTTATACACATCTAGATGTGTATAAGAGACAGCACACACACACACACACACACACACACACACACACACAATGCACACACACACACACAATGCACACACACACACATGCACACACACACACATGCACACATGCACGCATAAAAAACCGGAAAAAAAAAAGGATAACCGAAAAAAAAGGATCGCACCGCAACTCAAAAATTGAGTTGTGATTTAGCTAAATACGATGTGCCGATCAGCAAATAATCCAACGCGAAGAAGACGATGAGAAGGAAGAGAAGGAAGACCGAGGAGGAGAGTGAGGAGGAGGAGGAGGAGACGGGGACGGAAGACAGCGAATGCAATTATAACAAGGAACTAGGGACAACGGGAGTGGACGTGGGGACACGATGGAGAAGTGGAGGAGAGACGGGAAGGTTGGAGAGTTCCAAGACACGAAGGAGAAGGCGTAGGGAGAGGAGTACAAACGGTAGGGAGAGAAGGACAAAAAGTAGGGAGACGAGGAAGGGGAGAAGGAGAATCGTAAGTACTCAAAAAAGTTCTCCTCTTCCCGCCATACTTACCTGTCTAATGACGGGAACCCAAAAGAACACTTCGCGACTGAAAGTCTGGAAGAATCGCCATACACACTCGCGGATCACAGGCATACCGCACTGTCCCTCCTGGTCCTCCATCTCCGCCTGCCGCCTACTGGAAGAAGCTCCCGCGCGGCTGCTCTCGTGCGCCTCTGGCTCGTCCGATCAACGATGATGTCCAGATGGCCAGCACGGTGTAAACGCAACGCCCTCTTTCGTCGTGCCTCTATTTATCCGACGCTTGGGCCCACCGCGTCCATAGAAACCGACTCAAGGCTGAAAACCGACTCAAAGCTGAAAGCTGAAAGCTGAAAGCTGAAGGGCAAAAAAAAAAAAAAAAAAAAAAAAAAGAAGAAGAAGAAGAAAGCTGAAGGCTGCACCCACCGAGCCCACCCCCCCCACCACGCCGAGGAGCGGCTGCCACGTTGATGTACGCCCGGGCCAGCCCGGCGTGAGCGGGAGAGCACTCGCCTTGACTTGCTGCTGCCGCTCGCCTCGCTTGGTTTCTAACTTGACCGCCCCAGCGAACATGGCGGGCAGCGAACATGACGGGGTTGACGATTTTATTTTATTTTATTTTATTCATTTTAATTTTATTTGAGGGGGGAAGACCTCGTGGCAAGTCAATAAAGTTAGGGCCTTGTTCCACTACTCGCCATCCGCCACAAACAGTGGCGCGACTTGGCGAGGCCGAAAAGTGCATTTTTGTGGCGGAAAACGGCTCTTGGTTCCATTACATAGCCGCCGCCACGTGCCCTGTGGTTGCTGTCCCGGACTGTGGCGGATGGCGGGCGAATGGAACGGTCGCGGCCTTCTCTTGACCATGTACTCGGACTGGAAATCACTCCAGGTGCAGCGAAAACTCGCCAACACTAGGGGACAACGCAGGTTGACTGTCAGGACCGCTGTGTCAGGGGCAATGGCCACACGAAGTTTCGCGGAGGGGTGAGGAGTAGCGCCCTCCACGAAGGGCTGTTGCAGGCAGGGGAAATGGAAAGCCTTGGCTACACATCCCCAAGTGATTTCAGACCCAAATTCTGACAGCGTATTGGCGACGCAGTGGAACGAAGTCGCGTCCGCCCTGCGTGGAGGATGGCGAGTAGTGGAACGAGGCCCTTACTTACATGGCACGCAAGTGGCATTCGGGAGGTCTTGGGTTCAATCCCCATTGGCCTCATGTGCCTTCCTGGGCGACCTTGGCGCCCGCCACCTAGAGATATGCCATTGGTCCCCCCGAGTGGCATTGAGCAGAGACTGCTGATGCTCATAGTGGGAGGGGACCTGAGGGGAGGCACAGTGACTGGCCCATCGAAGAAGCTTGGTCCTGATGCTACCGACCGACGCCTGCCCGATATCGCCCACCTGCTGCAGGTGCAGCTCCCCCATGTTCCCTCGTTCAAGGGTTGAGCTCGGATGTGGCTGCTAATTAGCCTTAAAAAAAAAAAAAAAAAAAAAGTTACATGGCAACTTTTTCGGTGGACTAGCCGAATCTCGATGACCGCCAAAAGGCCAAGGGATCGACTCGGCAGCATGGAGAATTGGGTAGGATTCCCCGTATCTTGACCTATTTGACAATAAACAGACTGGCTGTGGGACTTTTCGCAGCCTCACTTCCCAATGGGCATCGCTCCATTACTCACCACATGTGCAAAATGAGAATGAATCTTCCGCTAGAACATTCGTAGATACACGACCATATTTCTTGTCATTTGTGCATGTGGAGAGGCCTGGATGCTCACATCCAGGTACATCCTGACCGGGCTAGTTTGCCCTTTAGGGCCTCGTTCCACACCACTACAAATGTAAGGATCCTTACAAAAACATAGTTCCACCACTCCCTAATGACAACAACATCGAACCCTAAGCCTGTTTTCACATTCTCGGCTCTTAGGGTCCGCCCTTACAAAGTGAGGGCGCCCCAGGCAAAACGTCCAAAATCTCTAGGGAGCCCCCAGAGGTGACTAGAAAAGTGAGGGTGAGAATGTCTTTTTACTTTTGTTTTTCCGGCGATGTTCCTGGTCCAGTGCATTCGTGTCCGACCCTTCGCCTGGGACAGTGGCATCGCCAAAACCCGGTACCGCTGTTTCCAAGTGTCGTTGCGAGACCATTGTAGCCGTTGGGCGGGGGAGTGCATTGTTCTGGAAGTGGCGGGGGCCGCATGGCCGTTGGCGGCGGTTCGAATTCAAAATATGCACATGGCAGCACCGTCCCTGCCAACGGCCACTTGATGGCAGTCGCTTCGCGACGCAAGCGGGACACAAAGGTCCCTCGGTGGCGGGAGATCCACTACAAATGGCAGTTGTATAGTCCAGATCAGACGCGTTGTCGTCTTTAACACTGTCGATGATTGTGTCAGTGTTCAACTCTCCTTACATGTGCACATGACAGACCTCCTCAGGAAGACTGTGCTGTTGACATTCGTCCTTGTCGCTTTGCTCATCGTCGTCCTACTGCAACTGTGCCAGTTGTTGAGGCATAGCAGGGCTCCTCCGCGAAAGAAGGCAACGAAGAAGGAGGGCAGAGGAGCAAGGGCAAGGAAGGCAATGGGTGATGGCAGTCTTCCTTCGCGGCAGATGTACGAGATCGGGCCGGGGGTGCACACCGGGGTTTCTTACGGGACACATCACCGAATCGATCCTGCGTTGTACACCCATCTGCCTCCTTACATGCAGCCTTTGCCGGATGATGACGGATGGGTACCGCCCCCTTCAACCCTTCCTCTCGTGTGGGGGTCGACATAAACCTCTTACGAAAGCGCGCCTCGATCGGATGACCGTCGCACTGGGATGGGTCCGATGTCCTCCCTCTTGGCAAATCCGACGGATGGTCGTCCAGATCCTCTGCAACTGCATTTGTCGCCGACGTGCACAATGGATGCCTCGAGAACCGTTCTCGTGGAGCACAGCAGTCGTTCGCAAGGTGGGGTGTCCGTCGCAATGCATGACGTGAGCGAAGACGGGTCAGTGACACAGCGGTCGCCGATGTCATCATACGCATGCAGGGGCAATCGTGGCCTATTACCGTCATCCTCAACTCCGGTGCGCAAGCCGCTTCCTCGCAGCGGTCCTGTAGGAATGGTGACGACAGCGACTGCGGCAGAGTCCCCCCAGGAGATAGAGAGGATCATGGCGCGGTACTCAAGGATGCGTACCGACGTTCAAGTCGGTGACGGAGGTGACGAGGACACGCAAGAGGAGGATGTGCCGAAGGGGGAGTTCATGGACGACGAGGAGGAAAGAAAGGAGGAGGATGACGCTGCGGTGAAGGAGGTCACACGAAAGACTGCGAATAAGACGACGATGAAGAGTCATGGGAAGTCCAAGGTGAGAGAGGGAGGCCCCGGTGATGGCGAGACGAGGGGGGGAAGAAACATGAAGAACTGGGATTTGGACGATTCGCTCGTCCTGGTCCGCTGCAAAAGGGACCAGGACCATTACATGGCAGACCAGGGGAGTAACTTCGCGCGGATGAAGGGCAAGTGGCCTTCCATGTCCTGATGGACGTGATGAAGACACATTCAACAGTCGTGGCGGATTCAATGGATCGTGCTAGCAAGCGTCAATGTGAAGTGCTGCAATGGCAATGTGACATCATGGAAAGGGAGGAGGCGACACAGGAAAAACAGTGTGAAGTGCTAGACGCTGGTCAACGCATGTTATGCGATGCTTTGCTAAAGATAGCTTCTGCATTGTGTCGGACATGATTGCAATTGATACGGTGGAGTGTGGAAGGGACGGCGACCCAGTACAGGCCTCACCAGATCACAGCCGCCGCTCCACATCCTTTCATCCACCAAGAAAACCACACTTCACCTTTCCTCTGAACCCCCCTTCCCCCCCCCCCCCCCCCCCCCCCCCCCCCCCCCCCCCCCCCCCCCC